GGGGGGGGGGGGGGACAGAACCCCCACGATAAACGAAGGACTACTAATTATGAAAAAAAAAAAAAAATATGAAACAACAATTTCCGAGGGATTAATTTTTTAAAGTTTAAATTGTGATCAGAGCTCCTGCTTCATCATGCAGGTTGCTTTTTCTTGACATATTTAATCATTTCTTGTTATTTCCTGCTGGAATGTGTGCAATTAACCTAAAATAATAACTGTCAGGATCTTCTTTCCAGTAAATTCCCCAAATATAAGACTGACAGTCCAAGGTGGAAGGACGAGGTTGATGTATTTTAACTGCAGCAGATGTTAAAACACTAAAAACTGGATCCTATGATTCTTTAGGAACACATTGAAGGGTATTTATTCCTAAATATGATATTCACAGTCTGTTGTTAGTTTCGTCTAATTAATAAAAAATATTTGAATACATATCCTGCTGTGAGAGGAAATGCCAGCAATTAACAGTACAGATTAAATAGTTGAAAGACAAAATGCTGCCTGCATAAAACATGTGAAGAACACAGCTTGGGGTCAGAATTAACATTTTCCTTTTTTGTTATTCTTTCTGCTGCTCACTTCTGAAGGAGTTGCCTCAACGAACAAACTCACACAAAAAATATGTCAATTGTTTAACACCAGATGCCCTTCCTGACATAACCTGGGATTGAACCTGCAGCCTCAGGATTACAGGATCGCAGCACAGACCACCGAGCTGCCGCAGCCTCCAATTAAAATTTGTCTTTGTGTCGCATAAACTTTATTCAACTCATTCACAATAACTCTCAACATTGTTCAGTTGTAACATATAAAATTGGTTCTAGGTCACAACCAGAATTAATACATAAAGCTCACTGTTGATTTTTGAGAAAATTAAAGGATTTAAAGTGTGCTTTATAGTCCAAAAAATACAGTATTTTCTTATTCATCACCCACCACCGAAGGTGAAGGCCAAGTGATGAAGATTTTGTCTGACTGTGTTCATTTGTTTGTAACATTAGCAAAACATGGCAGCTAAAACTGAACAGATTTTAAGGACGCGTCCAGAAAGTAATTACTAACTGAACATCTACAACCGATTACATTTTGGAGTCAATCAAATTCAAGATGGCCACTACAGCCAATCAACCTTAGCCTACACAAAAATGGCAACACAGTGAATTTTACAGATATGAAGATAAAACTTGGTGCAGCTGCAGCCAAATCATTCACTAAGGGCTAACAGATCATAATCAATTGCAAATAATGTAATTTTCTAGTTTGACAGAAACAGTTATACCTCTGTTATCTCTCAACGGGGAATCAATGAATGCTAGGTCTTTCTTTTATAATAAACTTTGTTCATTTGAAGAAACAAACAAGAGATAGTTAATCATAAGCAGTTTGCAGCTGGTAAAACAAATCCAGGCTGATTTTAGTCTTTATGCTATTTAACATGAACATATTCTGCATCGTCTTTATTTACAGCTGATTACCTTTTTGTTTTGGTGACTGCAGTTTGGAGGACATTTCCTCGACAGTATGCAGGCGTTAAAAATGACTGCAAGCCTCCTCCGTAAAACTAAAACAAAAAACAAGACTAGAATGAAACAAGTGGAGGAGCTCCTTTCCAACCATAAGAACAGAAATAAAAGAACTGCAGTGAACACAACATGTCATGAAGGGTGCACTTAACCATTACTGCAGACCTAATCGCCTTCTCTAAATGAAAAGATTCTAAGATTGAAAACAGAGAAAACATGAGACAAACTGGTACCGTGCTCGATGTATGTAATGAACGCCAGAGACATCAGCACTGCACCCAGGTGAAAACTCAAACCCTGAAATGGACAAATGTTAAAATCAGAACAAACCACTTGTTGACCCAAGGACATTCAAATCAAGAGCAAACCACCCAGGAGTCTCAGAGCGCTCACATGCAGGAGGGCGCTGGCTGTGTAGGTCACCATGACAGCAGTGAAAGTCCCGAATTTGAGTGCGCTCTTAAACACATCTATAGGATGACAGCATCCGCTTAACTTGTTTAAATCAGCTTTGATAAATAAATTGCTGCCTTTGATTATCACTGATAACAGTAAAACTCACAGGTGTGCAGAAAGCGAGACATGGGCAGATTCCATGACGTTACCACCTCCACCATCGACCGGGGAAACTCTATACTGAGTGGCTTTGTCACACTCATATCCCTACGAAACAAAAGAAGAACAGCAGGACTCCTTAAGAACTGTGGAACAAAAGAGAGACCAGCATTATATTGATGGTGCACATCGAGTTCTGACCATTTCAAGTTTTCTTTCTCCTCTGTGAAGCCTGACCCAGCGAGCGTGGCGGTCGTCTCGCTCAAGTAGCCAACAAAGTAATTACTGAAGTGAAAAGACGTTGAGTTCTCATACGCCACCAACCACCTAATGTACGGCCATCAGAACAGGAAGAGACAAATGGTTGTCAGGATTCCACCGCAGATCAAATCCAACTATTTAGACATTATAGCACCAAGACTATTAGACATACTTTGCCTGTGTTCCTCTGAGAAGCGATGAGGTAAAAAGAGGAACATTCGTAACACATTATGTTTACAGCCATTTTATCGACTTGCCTTGTGATGATTTACGTCTCACCAAGTTCTCAAGGTGGTGAAATGGTAAATGAGAGGGTAAGACGACACATGTCCTGGTACACATGTAGCTGCACAGAGAGGGGGGAGGATGCATGCAGGTAAAGCTGTTGCACACATGGTGAACAGAGAACAAGCGTGCAGCAACTGAGTGAAAATTATATGGAAAACATGTTGGAAATATTCAGAACAATTATGGACTTACTTGATTTTCCTCCTCTTTTTGCTATAAACAAAACAGACAACAGAAGCATCGCCTTAGTAAGGATTCAAACAGGAACCAATTTTATGTATTCCACTCACCCTCGTAGTAGCTTGTCTCCGAAAACGGGTATGAAATAAGGGAAGAGGTAGGGTGTCACGCAGTTGGAAATTACAAGGCAGATCTGGCTCTTCACCCAGCTAACAGACACTTTGAAAAGCCACACTAAGCTCTGAGGAGATAAAATAATACTTTAGGTAAAGTTTATGGACCTGTCTATTGATTTTCCAGTCCAAACTGTCATAATACAAGAGACGACAACAACAACCATTCCAGGTCCACCACTGTCTCAGGATAAAACTTTGAAACAATCTTCACGTCTCTGTCCTTTCATACACTTACCAGCTTACGCCCTTCTAAAGCTTCTTTGTAGCTGTTGAAGCTGATCCAGGGCCCAAAGATGACTGTGCCCACAAAGTAAATATACCCCATGAACTCCATGGGTGAGGGGACACTGGCTACAACACCCCTGTCCAGATCAAATGCCAAAGAGATGGCTTTCATGGCAACAACCATTTGTGAACCTGGACAACAGAGATGGTAAATTATGGCTGAAATAATTCAAAAGTATATTGAAGTGAACTTTAGTATAAGTATATAAGTGACAGGTAGGAGGTGAAGAAAGAGTCCACCTCTCATCTTGTGCCAGTTGGTGGTATCCATCATATGCAACTCCCTGATCCAAACAGAGAAGAATATTCACATTTTTATTGTATATCTCACTGCAAAAAGTAAGCCCCACACATACTTGCTAGGTGTGCAGTGCTGGAAATTTCAGGTATCAAGACGCAACTCTTACCCCAGGAGCAGGTAGATGAGCACAGTTATAGAGAGAAAGGTGCCTCGGATGGTAGAGTGGCGACACAAAAAGAGGAAAAGGTAGCAGAGAAGGCTGAGAAGAACAACCCAGACCATGTGAAGCTCAAAGAACAAGTAGAGAGCGTAGAAACCTCCAGCCACCGTGCTCAGGTGTTTCACAAATGATGGAAGGCCTTATGAAGCGAGATCAAAAGGGAAAAGTACAGTGATGGTTTATTTATAAGGTAGGTGGTAGGACGGGTGTAATGAAACTAAATAACTGAACTCCTACCCAACATCCAGAGCAGTCGACACAGCAGGCAGATAACCAGCAGCTGCCAGACCTGCTCCAGGCCCTGCTGGGCTGTAGGCAGTAGGCAGCCATGAGCCAGCTCCTGGAAAAACTTCTGTCGGCTGAATACCGCCATCTGAGAGAGCACAGGAAAGCTACACACATTCAAATTACAGGGATAAAAATGTCTTCTTCTACTGCGGTCTTCTGCTTTATCCCTCTTAGCATACACTTACATAGCTACACATGCATATATGCAGACAACTATGCTAAACTTCACTTCCCAGCATGCAAAGCAACTCTGCTAAAATGCAACGTCTTATTCTTGCGCTGATTTTAAACTAGACCCATATAATAATTAATGCACGAGTAAGAATAATAAAGTGTGAGAGACAGCATGACAGCTGCAGCTCAATAATGAGCACAGGTTTTGGCAGAACTGCATTAAATGATTTGAATGAAGCTTCTGTCGAGGTCCGCAATGCAGACCAAGCATGGGGATGAGTTGCTCCCCAGCAGGGCAATACATATATTTACTGTACTCTGTCTGTACGATTTGTCACGAAAAACGCGATTTAAATACAAAAGAGCTGTAGGTTTGCTAACCTCGCTTTCACAGACACCAGTGATTACAGCCTCAACGTAGCCGACGGGTTTCCTGCTCGCCGGCGCGTCACCCAGACCTGTCAGTTTACTTTCCGGGGAAAGACTTACCCTTTCCACGCAGCAGCAGGAAGTCCTTCCTTGTGTCTTTATCCAGCTGCCTCTTTGTTCCTTTAAACTCGGTCTAGAAGATACATATTTGGAAGAGTCTCATTGTCGCAGCATCAGCACCGCTAGCTTATCAACTGAAAAGGCACGCGAGGACATGTCAACCAATCTGAAACGTAGCTCCGTGGACGTCAGCCAATCACAGCTGCATGTCTATTAAAGTGACAGCTACAACATCCAATCAGGTTCGTTCCCCGCCTCCTAATCGCATCTAGACCAATGGGACGCGTACAGATTGATGCTGGATGTGCTTCTGCTGGCTGAGATTACAGAATGCTGGACATTAATATAACACTAATACGGTCTTAGTCTGATTTTTTTTCTTTATTGCCATGATTATTAGTTAAAAACAAAGTAACAATTTAAAATAAATCCATCCATCTTTTGTCTGCCACTTATTTCATTCATTCAACAAATTTATTTATGCAGGTTAGTCTCACAGAGTCACGTCGAGGACTCATTTTCGAGAGAGACCTGTTTTAAACAAAAACCACAGACGAGGTACACACAACAATAAACAATCATACAAAATGAAAGGTAAATAAAAGAAGATTGCAGTCAGGTTGCAGGGGCAGCAGCTTGAGCTGGAGGCCCAAACATCTGCTTCCACAGCCACCTCTTCCAGCTCTTGTGGGAGGATTCCACTGGGATCCCAGGTCAGTTGAGAGAGTAGCCTCCAACATATCCAGGGTCTTCCCTGGGGTCTCCTTCCAGCTGGACATGCCTGAAGGCAATAACACTAAAATAAGGTGTTCATGGGGCATTCTTGCCAGATGCCCAACCACCTCAACCAGTTCCTGTCAATGTGGAGGAGCAGCAGCTCTACTCCAAGACTCTCCCAGATAACTACATTTTTCACCCTCAATTTAAGGAAGTGTCCAGAAAGCTTTGACCACCAGTAACCTAGATCTTATTCTTTAGAAGGAATGTTGACTGACAGAGAGGTAAACAGTGGGCCTTCTGTAACAGCCACGGTGATGCCAACAGGATCACATCATCTGCAGAAAGCAAAAACCCTGAGCCACTTAACTCGTTCTTCCCCTGGCTGTCCATAAAAGTTGTGAATAAATCTGTGACAACAGCCAACCCTGTCTGAGTCTGACTCTTACCCTGAAGAGGTCTGACTTAATGCCAGAAATACCATACAAACCAGACTATTGCACTGTTTGTATAGGTACTGAGTAGCCCATAGACCTGCAATCCCATACGCATAGAGCACCCTCCATAGGTACTCCAGGAACATGGTTAGCAAACAAGTCCACAAAAACATTTAGGCTGGTTGGACAAACTCTAATGTCCCCTTAAGGATACGAGTGAGGGTAAAGAGCTGGTCCAGTGTCCATAGTGAGGATGAAACCCACTTTTTTCTTTTTCATTTACCCTTTATTTATCCAGGTAGTCTCATTGAGCCACGAGAACTCATTTTCAAGAGAGACCTGTTTGGGGGTTAAGGGCCTCGCTTATGGGCCCAGGGTGGGACGAATGAGGGTGGGGGCAAGTGTGTGTGCTTCACCTACCCCACCCATATTTTTGATGTTGTTGGTACGGGGGCGTGAACTGGCGATCTTCCGATCACAGGCCCACCTCTCTAACCTCTGCGCCACCACTCCCCCACATTGTTTTTCCTGAATCAAAGGTTCGACAATCAACCTGACTCTCATCTTAAGCACCCCTAAATAGAACATACCAAGGAGTGCGATTTGATTTCCCTGTAATTGGAACACACTTTAGTCCTCCCCCTTCTTGAAAAGGGCAACTATCACCCCAGTCTGCCAATCCACCTCCCTTGATGTCCATGTGACATTGCAAAGGCAAGCTCCCAAGACAACTCAGCAACATCCAGAACTTTAAGGAACCCAGGGTGGATTTTCTCACTCGATACCTTCTAACACAGAGCTTTTTAATTACCTCAGTAACCTCCGCCCTGGTTATGGTCGGAACCACCTCAAAGTCCCCAGTCAGCTTCCATCACGGAAAACGTGCTGGTGGGATTAAAATCTTTGAAGTACTCTTTTCTCTGCCATCACTGATTGAGGTCAACAGCGTCCCACCTTCACTATAGTGTTGGTAAAGTGCAGCATTTCCCACGTCAGACACTTGGTTTGTCAGAATCCTCTTGGAGTCTATAGAGTTTCCGTTAGGGAATTTTTTATCAAAGTTTATGGATGTTTTTATCTACTACAGTTAACTCTGCCCATGACCCATATGTCTGAGCTTACAAAACTTTTTTCTTTCTTTTTTTATGGTTGTGTTAGTAGAAAGCTGAATGAGGAGCTCGGTGAGGCTGCTAAGTGCAGCTGTTGCTCGAAGGACGCCTCGTCGAATCCGTGAGCTTGGCTGAACTGAGAAGAGTATACAAACAAGCTTCACACACTGCCTGTGGCAGATTCTGTGACTGGGCATCCTTTATGTACTTCCTGTATATTTGTGCAACCTTTTCCTGAAAATATGTCCTTGAGAATAAAAAACTGTTAAAAATCTCCTGTCTTCAAGTGTGGCTCCTTTCGACTAAGTGAAATAAAGCGAGAATATTTTTCTCCAATAGTTACTATCTGGGCAGTACGGTGGCGCAACTGTAAGAGCTGCTGCCTCTCAGTGAGCAGGTCCCTGGTTCAAATCCCGATCTGGAGGCCTTTCTGGGTGGAGTTTGCATGTTCTCTTCGTGCATGCATGGGTTTTCTCCAGGTAGTCGTTTCCTCCCACAGACCAAAAACATGCATGTTAGACTGATTGGTAACTCTAAATTGTCCCTAGGTGTGTAAGAGAGAGGGTGTTTGTCTCATTTGTCTCTACGTGGCCCTGTGATGGATTTGCGATCTTATTCCGCCCCTCGCACAGTGATTGCTGGACATGGGAACAGGCAACCTCCGTGACTCAAAATGGAAGAAACGGGTAAAAGATAATGAATGGATAGTTACTATCCAAGGCCTTACTATACTCCTCCCAAACTTGAGCCTTTGCCTGCACAACAGCCAGGGCTGCAGCTCGCTTGGCCTGCCAATACCTCCCGACTGCCTCTGGAGTCCTACCAGCTAACAAGGCTGGTTAGGACTCCTTCAGCTTGATAGCTGCCTTCACATGGGGGTGTCCACCACCAGGTTTGAGGATGGACTCCACAAAAGGCATCAACAACCAGTTTAAGCCGCAGCTCAGGGAAGTTGCCTCAAGAATGGAGGGACAGAACATGGCCCAATGTGACTCAACACTGTCTGGCCGACATCTTCTTCCACAATAAAATCCAACTCACCACCAGGAGGTGATCAGTTGAGAGCTCCGTTCCTCTCTTCATCCACGTGTCCAAAACACAAATCTGCAGCTCATATGTCAACTAAAGTTTATCGTCGATCTGAAGCCTAGGGTAGCCTGGCGGCATGAGCACTATAACTTGTCTTGGGTGACTAACAGGCTTCTGCAGCACATTAAGGGGTAATTAAACCATTGAATCAACTGTGTTGAACCAGGGAAACAAGTAAAACATGCAGGACCGTGGCATTTGAAGGCCTAGACTGAAAACAACCTGAGCTAGTACATTCACTGCACAACTGTTCAAAGGATATAAGAATTAATCGGCTGTTTGGAAACACCTGTTCAAGAAGTCCATGGGTCAAGACAAGTCTAGTAAAAATATTTATTTTCTTTCAATATACAGTAGAAGCCAGAAGTTTTGAAAATTACAAATAATGTCACCAAATTAGTTTCCCTTCATGATTTTAGATCTTTTACCTGAGGTTTCTATACTGAAGTATACATTCTGGAGTATAAACAAAATGCCATCGTAATAACAGAGGCAGCACATTTTCTGACAATTAATATTTGTCATTCTCAAAACTTTAGGCCACAATTTACAAAGCACGTCTTAATTTCAAAACATTACACGACTCATATCATGCCCCAGTGTCCCGGTTAAAATCATGCAGTGAGTTTGAACAAAACAGGGTTAGCATACTTCTACTGTTGCAAGTTAATCTAAGAACACCTGAGTAGTAACAACACGTGGAAACAGGCCTTTTACTAAAGTTTGGTGAAACTGTCCTACAAAACATACATCAGCATATCGACCATGACGAACAATATAAACAAAAGATGAAAAAACAGGATGACCAACAAGCAGCAACTCCTATTGATCATATAAAGTGTTAACTTTGTGAAAAGCTTCAGAACTAAAGTGGTGCACAAAGTATTTTTACTACAGTATTTTGTCACACACATTGCAAAAAAAAACAAACTAATCTGATGCTTGTGCATCATAAGTACAAAATTTTCTGCATCTGTGTGCTGCAATCTGTACATCATGTACAGATAATGTCCAAACGCAGCATGTTTGTATTATAGAGCAGCGACAATCGTTCGATTTTAGCTGGCTGAGGTAGATAGAAAAACTTTCAATTAAAGGTTAGTTCTCATTTGTGAGGCAAGATATGAATGTTCTTATTGGCTGTAAACTGCAATTTGATTCCTATCCAAAACATCCAGAGTAAAACCTGTGGCAAAACAAATTAATTAAAAAAAAAAGAGAAAGAACTGAGAAACACCAACAAATGACTACATCAGTTGGAAGAGTGTGAAATAAATCTGATAATTAGCAGCACGCATACATGTGCTTTACAGGACGAGTTATCGAATCACATCGGTAACAAATCAGTGACTAAAAGTTCAGTTAACCCAAACGGGCCGATGTTTCAGATGTAAGATTGTTCAAACACACCCAAGTTGTTTGAGCTTTTTTCTTTATGATAAAAGGCACCAGTTCTTGAAGTGGAACATTTTAACTAATGTAAACAGGTCAGTCACATAGTGGGTTTAAACTGCAGAAATAACAATGGTATATATTCCCTGCTGTTTAAACTAGAGTATTATTTCTAGGTCATAAGCAATTTTTTCCTTTTTTGCTTGCTCAGCAGTTTTCTGAACTGGACAGATCAAGACCTGTTCCTCTGGTTCTTCTTTGACAATCGGCTCAACGTTGACAGTTTTTCTCCTGTTTAAAACGTATTCGTAATTTCTCTGAACATCAAGCAATGCAGAGGTGAGGTACTGAGGTGAAAAAAGCTGCAGCGACGGCGGGAGCTCTGGATGTTGGGGGAGATGGGATTGTACAAAATCAGGTGGGTAGCTGGGCGCGGGTGACTTGAGGTGAAACGAGGCAACAGAGTTTCTCAGGAAACTGAAGATCGGGGAAGGTGGTGGGGGCACTGAAGAGGGTTTCACTGACAGCAGCCCATCTCTTTTGAACATCAATTGATGGGGAACACTGGGTAATAACTTTGGAACAGGAGCAGACTTATCAGTGGGAGCAGGAGACGGTGGAGGTATATCAACAGTTTCTATTATCCGACTTGGCTCCATGTTTCCTGGGCTCAACCTAATGTCCAAATCAGGCTGCTCAGCAACCAAAGACCCATCAGACTCCGTTTTTGGCTCCGACCGCGGCTGAAACAAAAGGTGTTTGTGGCGTCGACAGAACAGGACTCCACACCGGAGGCACTTCCTGCCGTCTTTGACGTGAAGCAGTTTGTGACGCTTCAGGTTGTGAATCGCGGTAAAAGATCGATTACACATGTTACACGGAAAGGACGGGTGGACAGTGGGGACCTCGTATGAATCTGCCCGACTCAAACTGGAGGACTCTCGCTCATGCAGCAGTTCGTCACTCTGTTGGACACCTTTAGGTACAACTACAGGCTTTAGCACCACCACGGGACACATGTTTTGTAGTTGTGAAATGAGTTTTGGTGACGTCAAGGATAATTTTATATTTAAGCTCGATATTTCTTGTGATTCGATTGATTCCCTTTTTGTTTCAGTCACAACTTCTTTAATAAATGCTTCTTCTTCCTAAATGATAAAAAAAAAAAAAAAAAATGAATCATTATGTTGGTAGGATCACAAATAAACAGGAACTTTATGTAATCTAAAATGACAACATGTTACTAATGATAGCTGCTACCTTTGGCACTGGTGAGGGTGACTGAGTTTGTGCTTTCCCCAAAGGATCACTCTCAGTTTCCATTGAAACTTCATCTTGGAGGTTCGCAGGAGGCTCAGGTCCAGCTGCTGAGATGTTTTCTTTTCCTGCACCATCTCTTACACAGCCCCTTGGATTTCTTTGACTAGAATTCCTTTGAAGAAAAATAGCAAAAAACTAATTTGCTAACCACAAAAATATATATTTTCAACCATGTTAAACACAAGTTTTAACCTGAGGAAATGTTCAAGAGAGAGATCAAAAGAAATAATAAAAAACGGACACTAGCCTTCTCAGTTAGGACTGTGCACATTGTTCACTTTAACACTGGTACAACTTTTACAGAGAGGAAGGTGTCATTTTGTAATAGAGGTATAACAATTAAACTTTCACAAATATTCCAACAATGAGTCGAGTATCAAACATGCCTGGAAGTAAGAGTAATGTGTTCCTTTCTGCAGACATTTTGATCCCTAAAACTGTGCAGGAAGTGGTTTGTCTCCAAGAGGACTGATCACCAATAAAGCACTATATTTTGTAAAATGTGCAAGATACATATTCTGCTAAAGATGGGAAAAAAAACTTGAATTTGTTCTAACATTTGAGAAAAAAAAAATCCTGCTGTATGAACAATGAACGCACGCCAGGAGGAAACACAATCAGCAGCTAGTAGAGACCAACGGTACACAAACGACCCAAAGTATCAGTGGAAGAAGCAACAGACCCGCAGTATGAAAAGAGAGCAAACAGTGGATCCATCTACAGATGCTGCTACACATCTGTTGTCCATGGACAACAGAACTCTGTGTTTGAAGGGCTCCAGGTTGTTTACAGCTGTAACTGAAATCCAAGATCAATTAAGTAGAAATCATTAAAGTGCAAACAGTTGAAAAAGTGCAAGTTTATATTACTTAAACAATTATTAAATGACTTTTAAGACTGATATGTCAAACTCTTATGGAAGATTCCTAGAGAAACACAACCTAGACCAGTAAACTAACGAGCACGGTCTGGGTTCTTTGTGGCACAGAGGCTCACAGTACGTTTTTCACAAAAGTCTACATATATTTATATTTTATATACTTATAGTGCTATTATACAGGACATACAAAACTTAACTCACCAGATTTTGAGCTAATTCAGTTAAAAATATGAAAAAAATAAATCCAAGCAAACAATCACAGAAGCTGTTTTACTCAGACTGATCAAAAAATAAAAATCTGAGCTAAAGTATTTAAAGTATATAAAAGTATTATCCAGTTCTGTTACATTTAAACCAACAGCCTGGTCCAATAATGGTCAGTCAGGTCATCTGGACAGTTTATTTTTTGTGGAAAGACGTTTCGCTCTCTATCCGGAGTGCTTTGACGTTTTGAACCACTTTGGCTGTAGCTGCCTGGGAGGAGTCGACGGGGGCAGGACAGCCCCCAGAAACCATCTTATCACCAGCAAACTGGTTGGTCCACTAAAGGAGTGTAGTGGGGAAAAGTTTATTTTGGACTCCTCAACCCTGATGAAGCCCTCTGGATAGAGGGCGAAACATCTTTCCACAAAAAAGAAACTGTCCAGATGACCTGACAGACCATTATTGGAATTTGTACCTGGATGACTGAGCATGAACTTTGATGTCTTGAAACATCTGGATAACTCTTTCCTGGACAGAGGTTAGGGTAATGAGTGCATCATGTACCAACACAGGCTAACAAATGAAAAAATGACAAATATCACAAAAAAAAACCTGTATTTAATCCAAAACAATCCCATAAATGGGTTTGAAAGCTCAAACTCACACAGACTGTGAAAAACCTAAAGGCAGAGAATGGAAACAGCACAGTCTCATTTTTCTACATGTTGGACAATCAGGGTCCTCATCGTTTACACAGCAGTAAGTAGAGAACAACTCCTGAATAAAAGAGATGCTGAGAACCCTGACGCTCATGAAACACACTCTGCAAGTCCCCCTACCATAAACCAAACGAGTTGTGTCTACTTTATTTGACAAACACACTGAAAAAGGAAACTTTTTGTGCAGCAGCTAGTTATTGTAGATATAACCATGGAGGAGGAAAGTCTGGACAGCACAGTTATTGATTTAGTAAGGCAATATTTCTGATTACTCTGATCAGAAGCCAAGTGAATCTACCACTGCTGCAGGTCTGTTTATTTTGTGACAGCAGCAGATTAATAAGAGACTATTAGGCTGACCAGACCTCAGCATATTATGGGATGAAGTGGTCATCTGTGTGGGACGAACTCCAACGTTGCTCTGATTCTTCACCTTAAAGATTTTATGGATTTCTGCCACCGAGCCACACGGTCATCACTGATAATAGCTCAGGGAAACTACAGATAAAATGCAGGTATTTTATTTTTATACGTTTTTATTACTGTCCTTACAGATCATTAAAAATATATATATTTTGAATACCCATACTCTTAAATTCACAAAAGTTCAAGATAAAAACAACTGGACTTTATTCGTAACAGAAGACGTTTCGCTTTTCTCAATTCAATTCATCTTGAACTTCTCAAGTCCTGGATGAATCTTCACCAGCGTACCACTACTCTTAATGAGGCGGTTTATTTATTGATTTATATTTTTAACCTTTATTTCACCAGGAAAATCCCACTGAGATTAAAAATCTCTTGTGCACGAGAATCCTGAGCAAGACTGGCACACAGAAGTTACAGAACATTCACAACAAACACAGAAGTTAACTCCGTCATAAGCAAATTAATTCAAAGATTCTTTAGTTAAAAACGTGGTTCTCTCATGCGTACACTTCAAATGTATTGTTACATAAAGTTGCAGACTTTTTAGTTCAGAATACATCGCTGGGATGATGGTCCACCTATATGCAAACGTGTAGCTCAGTTGCTAATACTATTAGCAACTTATTGTCACCGTAACTGAAAAATGTCCCTGCAAAACCCAGAATGTAGCATTTGCAGCTGATCTGTTCGGTTCAGATTACAGGAGACAAGGAATAAACGTGATGACACTTGTCCAAAAGTAAACTCAGGTCCTCTGGACGGATTTTTCTTGTTGAAATGTTTTGTCTTTTATAGGAAAGACTTCGTCAGTTTGAGAGAGACACTCAGTCTTTTGGATAAAAGACTAAACGTTTCAACAAGAATAATCCGTCCAGAGGACCTGAGTTTATTTTGTTAGATTTTTCTACCTGGACTATTGATCGTGCATCAGAATAATGTGTTGACACTTGGCTGATATTTGTACTGTTAAACAAAATGTGTTGCTAAAATCAGAAGAAAGTTGTTAATGCAGGGCATTTATGTTGCTGTAATGGCATGGACATTTGCATTTACATTTACCCAAGAAACAGGAATGTTGTCTCTAAGTGGACTGTAATCTCATCTTATATTATGGCTAAATATTAATAAAGCCTTAAAATAAGTCTAAAAATGGGCGGGTTTCTAGAATTTACTACGGTTTAAAGATATCCATCCATCCATTATCTTTTACCCGCTTCTTCCATTTTGGGTCGCTGGTGCCCATGTCCAGCAATCACTGTGCAAGGGGCGGGGGACACCCTGGACAGGTCTCCAGTCCATCACAGGGACACATAGAGACAAACAACCATTCACTCTCTCACTCACACCTAGGGACAATTTAGAGTTACCAATCAGTCTAACATGCATGTTTTTGGTCTGTGGGAGGAAACCGGAGTACCCGGAGAAAACCCACGCATGCACGGAGAGAACATGCAAACTCCACCCAGAGAGGCCCCCCGACCGGGATTTGAACCGGGGACCTGCTCGCTGAGAGGCAGCAGCTCTACCAGTTGCACCACCGTGCTGCCCTGTTTAAAGATATGTTAAATTTAATTGAGACATTTAAACTAACAAATGAGGCGACATTTGTTACAAAACAGGCAAACACGTTCAGTCAAATGAACTCCTCAGCCAAAATGCATACTTTGATAACCAATAAAAAAATATGAGCACAATAGCTAGACAAACTGAGCTCACTTTATCTGACACATATTGGTTAAAGTACAAACACAATGAAGATATTTGAGGTTTGTAAAAGCACAAGTTCTTCTTGTCATGATGTGTCTACAGCCATGTGAAAAAACCAAACCTTGACCCCTCAGTCGTTTCCAACTACCGGCCTGTCTCCAAACTCCCATTTGTTTCTAAAGTACCGGAGAAAATAGTCGAGTCCCAGTTGAAGTGCTTCCTGGAGGATCACGCCATCTTAGAGCTTTTCCAATCTGGCTTTAAACCTCTCCACAGCACTGAAACTGCCCTGCTGAAGGTCTTTAACGACATCTTCAAATTCACAGATACCGGTGATTCTGTGCTGCTTGTCCTGTTGGACCTCACAGCCGCCTTTGACACCATTGACCATGAGATCCTCATTGCTTGGTTGGAGCAGTGGGTGGGCGTCACAGGATCAGCCCTCAATTGGTTCAGATCTTACCTCACTGACAGATCCTTTTGTGTCTCCATCAAGGATTTTAGTTCCGCAGAGGCAGAGCTTAAATGGGGGGTTCCGCAGGGGTCCATAGTGGGTCCCCTCCTATTCTCTTTATACCTGCTGCCGCTTGGTGCTATTTTCCGGAAACACAACATGCCCTTCCACTTCTATGCTGATGACTGTCAAATTTACTTCCCCCTAAGACACAATGGTACATGCTCTATTCAACCGCTGCTCAACTGCCTGGCTGACATCAGGGACTGGATGGCTTTAAATTTCTTAAGTTTCAATGAAAAGAAGTTTGAAGTCATGTTGTTCCCTCCCAACGACACGATCACAAACCACTGCATCGACCTTTCCACTCTAACCCTGTCAGAAAAACAAAGAGTCACTAATCTGGGCGTGATAATGGACCCTTCCCTGAAACTTAGCAATCACGTAAACATGATTGTTAAATCATGTTTCTTCCAACTGAGGCGGCTGTCTAAACTGAAGCCCATATTGTCCAAAAATAACCTGGAAACAGTAATACATGCATTCATTACATCTAGGCTTGATTACTGCAATTCGCTCCTGTTTGGTATCAGTCAGACCTCCATTGCACGACTACAACTGGTCCAGAATGCAGCAGCCCGATTTTTAACCAGTACAGGCAAAAGAGAGCACATTACACCAGTTTTGGCCTCACTGCACTGGTTACCGGTTCATTTTTTAATCCAGTTCAAAATACTCATGTATGTCTACAAATCACTGAACAGTGTCGCCCCCCCATCTCTCTGATTTGCTACAACCGTATGTCCCACCACGTTCCCTGAGGTCAGCGGACCAGTTGCTCCTCACAGTTCCAGGAACTCGTCTTAAGCGCAGAGGTGACAGGGCCTCCTCTGTAGCAGGACCAAGACTTTGGAACGAGTTACCTCTGCTTGTCAGACAGGCCCCCTCCCTCTCGGTTTTCAAGTCCCGTTTAAAAACTCACTACTATTCAATAGCTTTCAACACAAGATGATCTGTGTTTTGATCCTGTATGCTCCACACTGGTTTGTCGTCATTATCTGCATTGTTTTTTGTCTATATTCTGATTTACCTCATTTTGTATTTTGCTTCGTGTGTTACCTGTTGTTTTGTCTGTACAGCACTTTGGTTGGCCTTGTTGCTGTTTTAAGTGCTTTATAAATAAAGTGGTATGGTATGTGCATCTTACCTTTTCTTTGGACTTGGCTTGTTGCATGAAAACACAGAAGGTACAAAATCCTGATTGTCTGTATCCATGGAAACCTCTCCTGGTAAAGACAAATAATGATTCAATTCCGTTCAGTTTATTTATATAGCGCCAAGTCACAACAGAAGTCATGTCAGGTCACTGAACAGAAACATTCATATAACAACTTCTGAGCATGAACTTTGATCAATTAGTAACGTTATTTATCTAATGTCATATCTCATCGTTTACTTATTCATCCGTCTTAAAAAGCTCGTGGTTTCATGAGACGTTTCCAGATGCAAAGTGAAGCAACCTGAGACGAAATGCGCGCTGCAAATCCGATTATCTCCCGTGAGCTTGCGCGTGTTGCCGTTAGCTCGGTGGATCGCCTTCACCCACAAACGCCTCCGGCTGACATGAAAAGGTCGAGTTCCACACGGGATTCTGAACAGCCGTAAGCTGCTCGAGTAAAGATGATGATTTTCACAGCTAATCACGCAACAACGCGGCATTTCTGTTGTAAAACGACATGTAGCCAGCGTTAGCATCACTTTTAGGAAGTTAAACGAACTTAACTTCCGGTTGCGTACATGCGCGCGCATCATGGCGACGGTATGGTATAAAGTTTATTCATTTTAAAAAAGTACAAAACAATTCCATAACAATATAAAAAAAGATACAAGAGATTTATAATGAAAGGCAGCAGAAAGAAGAAAATTTTTTATTATATCTGCCCCTTTTTCGAACAATTATTTCAATCATAATAATTTTCAAGTAACAGAACAAAATGAATAACTTTCTAATTTTTCTAATTTTTCTAATTCTAATACAAAACACACACTAAGCTACTTCATATAATTTTTTAACAATTCAGCTTTGATCTTTTTCTTAAATGTACACATTGACTTGACATTTTTCACATCACTCTCTAGACCATTCCACAATCCAACTCCTTGGATTGAGGTAGACCTTCCCTTCAGACTAGTTCTGAATTTTGGTTTGACAAATATCTCTATCCCCTTAAGATTGTAACAACTTTGTCTTTTAACAAAATTTCTTTGGATATTTAATGGTAATGTGTTATTTTGAGCCCTATACATAACTGATAAAATACTATAATCTACCAAATCATGGAATTTCAATAACTTCAGTTGATAAAATAATGTGCTTGATGGGTGACTGTAATGCTTTCTGGTGATAATTCTTACAGCTCTTTTCTGTAAAATAAAAATAGGTTTTGTAAAAGTTTTACACGCTTTCCCCCAAACATCAATGCAATAGATTAAATGTGGAACAATGATTGTGTTATACAACATGTACAGAGCTTTATCATTTAATAATTCCCTGACTTTGTAAAGTACTGCAATAGATTTAGATATTTTTGTTCTTACAGAATTTATATGATTTTTCCATGTTAGCTGTTCATCAATGATTACACCCAAAAATTTAATCTCATTAACTCTACAAATCTCAACACCCTCAATTTTAAATGGATCGTCAACAGTTTTCTTTTTGTTACTAAATATCATGTATTTAGTTTTATCTAAATTTAATGATGATTTATTAAGTTTAAACCAAGTTTGTATTTTATCAAATTCTGTTTTCATCAGTTCCAACATCCGTTTTACATCTTTACCCAAACAGAAAAATGTGGTGTCATCTGCAAAAAGGACACATTTGAGGAGTCCTGATACATTCACTAAGTCATTCACATATAAAATAAATAACTTTGGTCCAAGTACAGAGCCTTGAGGAACTCCACAAGTGATATTGCACAGGTCAGATCTTACACCATTTATTTGTACAAACTGTTTCCTATCTTTCAAATAGCTAGATACCCAGTGTAATGCTGGTCCTCATATACCATATTTATTTAATTTTTCAAGGAGAATAGTGTGGTCAATAGTATCGAATGCTTTTTTTAAATCAACAAAAATACTAACACAATACTGTTTTTGATCGACAGCAGTAGTTATTTGTTCTATTATTTCCATGAGAGCCATTGATGTAGAGTTTTTTGCTCTAAACCCATACTGACTGCTACTTAGAATGTTTTGTTTAGTAATAAATTTATCTAATCTGGTCACAAATAGTTTTTCTAGAATTTTTGAGAACTGTGGTAATAAGGATATTGGTCTATAATTATTGAACACACATTTATCACCATTTTTAAAGAGAGGAACTACCTTAGCTACTTTCATATTGTCTGGAAATAATCCTTTTGAAAATGATAAATTACAAATATATGTAAATGGCTCGATAACATAACTCATTATGTCCTTTACAAACATCATATCCATGTCCACCCAGTCTTTTGATCTCTTATCTGTAAGATTTTTTACAACATTCATTATTTCTTCTTTGTCAGTTCCATTATGAAAAATACTGTTGTCACAACCTTTAACTGAATGGTTCACATTATTGTCTACTTTTGGTATTTTAGCTGCAAGGCTTGATCCAACGTTCACAAAATGATGAATGAATCCATTTACAATTTCATTTTCATCATGGATTTCATCGTCATCCTTCAAAAAATATTGTGAAATACCTGTTTTTGCTTTATGACTTTTCAGAACACTATTTATTACTCGCCATGTAGCTTTCATATCACCATTACTTTTATTTAATAAATCACTATAATATTCCTTCTTGTGTTTCCTTATAATCGCTACTAATTTATTTTTATACTTCTTATATTTCTCTTCGGCCTCTTGTGTTCTCAATTTCAAGAAACATGTATACAAATAATTCTTTTTTTTACAAGCATTTCTCAACCCTTTCGTCATCCATGGTTGATCAACAACATTTCTCTTTGTATAATTATTTTGCACACAATTCTTTTCATACAGAGCTCCTAAAATATTCATAAACTCATCATGTGATCTGTTCACATCATCAACATACACGTCTTTCCAGCTTTGTCTATGTAAATCATCTTTTAATTTGTCCATTGCTTTTTTTGATGTGTTTATTGTTTTTTCCTTAATTGTGATTTCTTTTGTAATGCTTTGATCATTTTTATAAATCGTGAAAACTGGTAAATGATCACTCAAATCACTCGTTAAAATACCTCCCATCACATCCCCATTTGTTACATTTGTGAAAATATTATCGATTATTGTAGCACTATGAGTTGTAATTCTTGTTGGTTTTGATATTAACGGATAAAGATTTAAACTATACAATGAATTTGTAAATGTACTGATGTTATTTGAATCTGTTTTATTTCCCAGGTCAATATTAAAGTCTCCACAGAAAAAAATGCTTTTATTAAAACTCTTGTCCAATAGTTGTACGATTTTATCAGTGAATATTTCTATATTTGATCCTGGAGATCGATATACACAATTTATCAATATGTTTTTATCATTCTTGTTTATTATTTCTATTGTTATTATTTCCATGATATTATCAACAATTACTGACATTTCATTAATTAACTTACATTTTATTTCATTTTTAACAAATAGAGCCACTCCACCACCTCTTTTGTTGCTTCTGTTCACATGATATAATTCATACCCTTCCATGTGAACATTAGTTGTGTTTTCATCGTTGAGCCACGTCTCCGGCAGTGCTATTATTGTAAAGGTTCTGTTTAGCTGTTTTAAATAATCTGTTATTTTGGATATATTTGCATTTAAACTTCTACTGTTAAAGTGAATAATAGAGAGACCTCCATTTGTTATATTGATGTCATTAAACTGTTCTTCATTGTAATATTCACAGTCTTTTATTACAGGAAAAAATGTGTATCAATCACATCTTCAACATTGTATATTTTAAACTCTAAGTCTTCGTATGTTGCCATATTATAATGTATTTGTTTGTTTTATATTTTGATTATTTATTGCTTGTGAAGTTGTGTCAATGATTTATCATCTGTCATCTCCTGAGCTCATTTTAGTTTTTCCAGATCTTTCAGGTCTTTTATTATTTTAGCCTGAGATCCTTCCTCTAGTTTGATCCAAATGTTTCCATTTCTTGTCCAAGTTGATGCTATTTTTTTCTGTTTTTTTAACAACCTTGCTTCACATGCAATATTTCCTTTTTTTTAGTTAGATGTTCATTTATGTAAGCATTTGTTCCCTTCAGTTTTTTTGCTTGCATTATTACCTTGTTTCTTGATTTCCTGCTAATGAACTTGATGACTGGATGGTTTGGCTTTATTTGATTTGTTGGGCAGGGTGTGACAGATTGAAATGTCCTCATGTTCGATGTCAATGTCTTTGTTTTGTAAAAAATTCACTACTTGCTCCTTCAGAGTCTGTAGTTCTAGCGATGACGTCACGCTTCAGTAAACTATTCCTGAATCCCAAATAGGTATACAGTGAACCCTCGTTTTTCACTGGGGTTACGTTCCAAAAAGAACCCGTGATAGGCGAAATCCGTGAAGTAGTAATCTTTATTTTTTTTACAATTATTATACAATGAAATACTCCATAATACATTCAAACCAAAGAACAAAACATTTTTACAGGCCCAAGCATTTGTTTAACAAATAAAAGTACTGTACAAACGTTTTTTACAAATAACTACTGTACTGGAGAGACTGTTTAGCCAATCAGAATGCAGAACACAATGCACGATGCAAATCCGTGAAGCAGCGAGACCGTGAAAGGTGAACCGTGTTATAGCGAGGGTTCACTGTACTGCAGTATTTATCTCTAATGAACATGAAGTGAGTAAAGCAACTGACTGTATCCAAGAATTCTCTTCAGTGTCAGGCCTAAAAATGAACCTTAATAAATCTGTTCTGTTCCCACTAAAAGACTGCACACTGACAGAAATTAATGGTATTCTTGTTAAAGAGAAATTTACATACTTAGGAGTGGTTACTGAGAAAAATCTAAATTTGCGTAGCAGTTAAAACTTTGGTCCCATTATAGAACAAAAATAAACAAATTTAACATGTGGTTAATGAGAGACCTGTCATTAAATGGAAGGGTATTACTGTCAAAAGCTGAGGGAATCTCAAGATCTGTGTATACTTCCTTATCTTTAGAAATGCCAAAGGATGTATGCAAAAAGTTAGATAAAACATTATTTGACTTTAAATGGAAACATAAATGTCATTACTTAAAAAAAGATATTCTCTGTAATAACAAAACATTTGGTGGATTAGATGTCCTAACTTTTGAAATGCTAAATAACTCCTTTAAAATTAAATGTTTAACCAACTTATTAAAAGGGAATGATTCGCTTTGGAACACTTTCCCCAACCACATTTTTAATCAGGTAGGTGGACTTCAATTCTTATTAAAATGTGACTATAAAAT